TGTCACCAATACTAAAGGACAAAATAAAAAAAAAACCTGAAGAAAACACTAAGATATTACCAAAGACAACAACTGAAAACCAGAAAAAATCCTCCAACGTTAACTGTACTGTGTATTGAGGAAGAATAAAAGGGTAAACTTTAATTTGTTTTATTTAAATCACAAGGTCAACATATGCATTTTTCTAAGATTAGACAATTCTATTGACAAACCATCCTTTATATAACATAATAATAAAAAAAAGAAATATTGCAAAAGTTAAGATCGAAATAAAATAACATTATCCAAAAAAAAAAAAAACATGTACTATATCAGGTGTAGCTTGAAATGAGTAAATGATGTGATTATGTTGACATGTTCAATTTAAATGAAACGGAAATGATCACATGACGACAGATTGACATTTACTAAAGCAAACGAAAACAAATAACTTACAATAGGGCGTGGTGTGAGTTTGAACGGTTGAGGATACGTCCAATTTAAGTGATTTGAATATGATTGCAAGGCTAATTGGAATTTTCTACAGAATAATAAAGCAAATAAAAATTAAAAAAAAACTATATATCTGGACCATTTTTCAGTCAAAAAAATTGGAAGTAAAACAAAAAGCAAAGACAATGAAAAAAGGAGCTATTTGATAAACTAGCTCAACTAACAGCTAAAAAGGGAATATTAATGGTATTCCTTATTTAGCACAATGTACGTTCCTTTTGTATTTGTATATACTTATGACTGATATTGTGCACACGATCCGTGTTCTTTTTACATATCTTTGCGTTTTAAATGCCTACATTGTAGTCTCTGAGGAAGAAATAGTTTGTGCCACGGAACCAGTAAAACCCTCGAATGTTTGAATCCTGTACTAAGTTAGGAACCTCTGCATGGGGTTTTTGATCACACGACAATTAGGCTGCATAATTTTATATACATCATTTGGAGGAGGATCGAAGCAGGCTAAATTCCTACTCCAGTTTGAAGCAAATCTCTATCAATTTTGAATTAACAATAATTTATCATTCATAAGCCACTTTCTGCAATTTAAGAAATAAGAAGATATTGAAATATTGATTACCAATGAGAAACTATCCACATAAGACCGAATCAAAAGGATTAAAACAATTACAACATACGACCTCCAACAATGAGTTAAACCCACGCCGTACAGTTAGTTTGTAACCGCCACATTTTGTATGTGCGTGTCCCAAGTCAGGTGCCTGTACTTTAGTGGTTGTCGTTTGTTGCTGCATATCATATTTGTTTTCTCTCGTTTGAATTGATTTTCATTTGTCGTGTTGGGGACTTATTATAGTTATCAATGCGGTATGGGTTTTCCTCATGGTTAAAGTTGCTAACTTTTACATCATTTGGTCTCTAGTGGAAAGTTGTTTTATTGGCAACCAAACCACATTTATTCTTCTTATTTTCATATAGGATAACAAAATGTTTTTTTTTCAAATAGAAAACTACCGATGTTTTTAAGTTAATGAAATTGAACGTAAATCAATTATGATGGACGGCAACCACGGACGACAACTAGACTACGGGCTTATGTCCTCGAACATATACCTAAAGAATGTGAAGGTTAAACATCTTTATGCGCGCTAAACTATCCTTAGTGGGAAAGTCGAATGTGACCTACCGAATAAGACTTATTACCGGGTTTGTACTAACATGAACAACACGACGGTTGCCACATGTGGAGTAGAATCTGCTTACCCTTCAGGAGCACATGAGATCACCCCCAGTTTTTGGTGGGGTTCGTGTTGCTCAGTCCTTAGTTTTCTATGTTGTGTTTTATTGTTTGTCTGTTAGTCTTTTTCTTTTTAGCTATGGCGATGTCAGTTTATTTTCGACTTACGAGTTTGAATAAAATTGAGAATGGAAATGGGGAATGTGTCAAAGAAACAACAACCCGACCATAGAGCAGACAACAGCCGAAGGCCACCAATGTGTCTTCAATGCAGCGAGAAACTCCCGCACCCGGAGGCGTCCTTCAGCTGGCCCCTAAACAAATATGTATACTAGTTCAGTGATAATGGACGTCATACTAAACTCCAAGTTATACACAGGAAACTAAAATTAAAAATGATACAAGACTAGCAAAGGCCAGAGCCTCCTGACTTGGGACAGGCGCAAAAATGCGGCGGGGTTAAACATGTTTTTTGAGATCTCAACCCTCCCCTATACCTCTAGCCAATGTAGAAAAAACAAACGCACAACAGTACGCACAGTAAAACTCAGTATAAGAGAAGTCCGAGTCCGATGTCAGAATAGGAAACAAAAGAAAATAAACAAAATGACAATAATACATAAATAACAACAGACTACTAGCAGTTACTGACATGCCAGCTCCAGACCTCAATTAAACTGAATGTCCCTTTAGTATCTTTCGCCTCTCTTTTAAAGCCATTACCTAAGAGATGGTACAACACAACATTAGACAAATTGGTAAACAAATCCGTTGAAAAGGGTTTGACTGATCAGACCGGTACTAAACACAAAAAAATAAACAAGTACAAAAAGACAACAGACACACAATCTGAATTCAAAGGCAAATTTCCAATAGTAAATAGAGCAAATTTGTTTTCCCTCTCCAAAAGCATGTTTGTTTGAACATGTGATTCAAAAATCTGTCATTGATAAATCTATTAGTAATACGAAACGATTTAAGAGGAGTTAATCATACAGGTGATATGTTATCTGTACCTTTTGTAGTATAATAGGGGAGGGGTGAAGTGTAAAACTTTTATACTTAATAGATGAAGTCTCTAAACCAAATGGAATAAAAGAACGAAGTTTTCATTTGTCGGTCTAACATTAAAAAATGAGAAACAAATGTTCTTCGTTCCAAGTAAATACAAATGAATGGGATAAAACTTAAACAGGCAAAATTGACCTTGGATGGATTTGACAATGATTTTAGGTCCTTTTTTGGTCATAAAGCTCTTCAACTGTTCCGGTTCATATACATTCTTGGCTTTCAAATATTGGCTTTGATCGTTCTTGATGAAGTTAAATCCAAAAAAGCGCTTCTGACGCAGGAAATTAATAATCATTTTTGACCATTTGAACTGATAGAACAATTATATAACATATAATGCAATACAGATCATGTTGATAACTACGATGGGCAAAGACAGCCTACAAAAATACTATTCAAAACTGGTATCACAATGTAGTACTCTGTACAGAAGTTTGTACATATTACAACAAGTTGTTTTACTTCCGGGTAAAATATAGTACTCTACACAGAAAGTTTGTACAGATTACAACAAGTTGTTTTACTTCCGGGTAAAATATAGTACTCTGTACAGAAAATTTGTACATATTACATTGGTTTTACTTCATTGTAAAAATGTATTAAACTTTCTGTACAGTGAACTATCTTTTTACCCGGAAGTAAAACAATTAATTTTAATCTTTAAACTTGATGTACAGAGTACTACATTGTGAAACCAGATTTAAATAGTATTTTTGTCGACTCACTATGGCCATCGTAGATAACATTAATCAACTAGAGATAACTTTTTCAAATGTGAGGCTTTTTGATGAATATTGTAAGGTGGTATAACACCGGCATCTGATTTTATGTGCTCTGATCTTTTTGTTTAAATGTTGGCAAATACTTTGTATCCCAATACGAAATACTTATGAGATATGACTAATTTCCTTGGAATATGTTAAATTTCATGGGGTCAAAACCGAAAGTGACATGTAATGAAATGTATTTGAATGACACTGAAGAATGTACCTAAAGGATTTTGCAACAAGGTTTTAGATGTAGTCGTAAAAACTGTTATTCAGTGCAATACCTTTTTGTTGAAGACAATTTTGATAAAAATATGCAAAATTGATCAGATCTTATGAACGTTTGCGTCGAAAGACACCCTCCTTTACCAAATGATTGATGAACTTTCCTGTATATAGACGATTACTGCTTTCAAGGAAGCTATTGAACCAAGGGTTCCTAGTGGAAATGTTGAAGTCATCTTTTTTAATGTTTTACAGATGTCGTCATGATTTGGTTGATCATGTCACAGATGAACACGATATGCTCAAATTGTCTTTGACACAATCCCACCCTCTTTCCTTCAATTGTTACAATACCTGAAGTTATACTTTTAATTAGCAACACGATGAGTGCCACATGTGACGTGGAGCAGGATCTGCTTACTTTTCATGAGAACCTTATATAACCTGATTTTTTTGTGAGGTTCTTACTGCTTCTAAGAAGTATATTGATTACTGTTGTTTGTCTAATGGTCGTTTTTGTTATTCATTTTACAACGATATTGTCTGTTTTTCTCCGATTTATGAGTTTTGATTGTTCATTTAATGTCATCTGTGTTTTTATATAACAAACACGATTGAATTTATTTCCGAAAGACAACACATAGCTTTACTACAGATAAAATGTTAGTTTTTGTATAGAATTTCCTTCATACCAATTTTTTTTAAATTCTCGCGATACGTAAAAGTCTTTGACAATTTCAGTTTGAGCCACCTTAAACTATTTATGGTTTGGTCACATGTTCAGAAATATCGCATACTATTGTTACAACCTCAAAGTACTCATACAAGTCTATGAAAATGGTCCTAGTGTGAAAATAGTTCATGGGAATTAGATCCACGGAAATTGGCCCTGGTTACCTCTTTTGTTGTGTTTTATAAATAAATTAAGTAGGTCATATCGGTTGTGTCATCATATTTAGTGGATGCAGTTACCACAAATAGCTGAAAGATCTATTTTAAAGCACGTGGAGCAGGATCTGCATACCCTTCTGGAGCACATAAGATCACCCTATGGTTATAGTGGGGTTCGTGATGTTTAGTTTTAGTTTTCTGTTTATTGGTTTGTTAACTGTTGGTTTTCTTTTCGTCGTTTTTTGTCGGTCTCTCTTCGACTGTTGAGTTTTGATTATCACTTTGGTGTCGTCAGCTTCTTTGTTCATAATGATTATAAATACATGATTAAAAATAATAAATTCTTAAAACATATATAATTTATTGATTTTAAATCAACTATCTAGTGACAGTTTTATTATTTTCCATAGTCTGACTTATATGTCCCTTGTCGTCTCAATGAACCAAATCTATGTTTGTTAGCTGATCCATACCCTCCTGATGGTCCACCGAATCCGTAATGTGGATTATATCTCGGTTGAGCAACTGGATGTCTCCTTGGTATATACTTAGGTTGACCCATTCCGTAGCCCGATCTTGGTCCTCCACCAAATGGCGATCTTCCACCATTCATTGGTCTCGAATTACCACTTCCTGGTTTTGAAGCCATAACATTTGGCATAGGGGTCGTTGGTTTAATGGACTGTTTTGTTGTGTCATGTTCATGTCCGGGTATGTGCTTTCTCAAAGCGTGAGTTAAATTGGGTATAACGAAAGCAACGTGTTTGCCTTTATGGTGCGTAAAAAATGGATCTATAAATCCTACAATTGAAACAAATGATTCATGTAAAACAGCATAGTATATTAAGCAATGCATTGATCATGAAACTTTTGTTTAACGTCCTTTTTGACCATTTAATTCATCACGTGTTAAGGTCTTATACATTATTGGCTTTCAAAAGTTTTGGGTTTAAGCGTTCCTGATGAAGGTAAATCCAGAGAAGCGCATTGGACGCATGAAATTATTAGTGTTATTTGTATTTTACTTGTAATTTATTTTGAAAATACAGCTTTTTAATGTCCTTTTGGTTATATAGCTCTTTAATTGTTTCGGTTTTTATACATTCCTGTCTTTCAAATATTCGGCTTTGAGCGTTCCCGATGAAGGTAAATCCAGAAAAGCTCTTCGGATGCACGAAATTTATAACATGTTGTATCATTTTTTAACAACACCGGGTCGATACCGCTGCTGGGGGACTATCAGTCCACGAGATTATCATCAGCTCAGTAGTCAGTACTTCGGTTCTGACATGATTTATACCAAACCTTTCTAAAATTGTCCGTTTATAAATTTTGAAATTATAAAGAACTAAGGTTTCAACTCCCTCAGACAAAGTTGACCTTACATGGATTTGGATATTTTTTCAGGGCCTTTTGGTTATATAGCTCTCCAATTGTTTCGGTTTTCATACACCCCTGGCTTTCAAATATTCGGCGTTGAGCGTTCCTGATGAAGGTAAATCCAGAAAAGCGCTTCAGATGCATGAAATGTTTAACGTGTTGTTATCCTTTTTTTTCTCAAACAGTAAAAACAATAAAAAACAAACTATGCAAAATAGCCAATGAGAAGACAATGTATATATACTGTAAATTCAGAAATTATTGCGAGGTTTTTATTAATGCGAATAATGCGACTGTGTGAGTATCGCAGTGGTAAGAACTCGCATTCTGATATCTGATACATATATTTGTATGCATATTTTCCTAAAATCGCAATAATTAACATCGCATTTTGGTCCGTTCTTCAAATATCGCAATAATATATGCCCGCAATAATTTCTCAATTTACAGTACTGTAAACCAAATGATTTTCGCGAATGATATATGCACGCGATTTTCAGGAGTAGAAAAATACCGCAAATATAAATCGTTACGAGTATGCCAAACTTAGATGTTTTCTTGAATGAGGACATTAAGTTAGAAAATCGCAAACAATAAGTCTTTGTGAAGTTAGATAGAAAGGAGTAAACGCGAAAAAAGTAAATAAGAAAATTGTTTTGTTTTATATAGCTAGTATCTCCATTATATTTTATATTAGGCTTTGAATCAGGGGGTTGTAACTTACCACCACCAACAACTTCATATACGAGGGTCTGGATTGGAGGTTTCTGTATTTTGTAATTATTTTTTGTTTATTTCATCAGGATTTTACCAATATATATATTCACTAGCATATTCCTGATTCGAAGGTTGCAGTTATCATAATAATCATTTATTGCAAAGGCTTCATTCCATTCTATGGCTTACGATCTCTTGAATATTTGGTGGTTATAAACTGTCATGCGCATTTAATCTGAAGAACATAAATCTATAAAGTGAACATTTTTGGTAATAATGACCTTTAGTCATGGATGACATGAGGTCGACCCTGTTAAAAAGTTTTGAGAACGTGCTATACATATACTACCATTTAACAATAATTGTTCCTCAATATTGGTTCAAATATTTTGCAGTAATATTTACCTATTACAGAAAAACATACCTGGTATACCATTCCTCGGATCTTCTTCATCAGTAGCACTTTTGGTTTTACCGTCTTTTCTATCGTTATCACCATCTCCTGTTTTTCCAGTACCATCTCCATTTCCACTACCATCACCGTTTCCACTACCGTCTCCGCTTCCACTACCATCTCCGCTTCCACTACCTTCTCCGCTTCCACTACCATCTCCGTTTCCAGTACCGTCACCTGGTTTCCCTTTGCCGTTTCCACTACCATCTCTGTTTCCACTTCCGTCTCCGCTTCCACTATCATCTCCATTTCCAGTACCGTCTCCAGTACCGTCACCGTTTCCACTACCGTCTCCGTTTCCAGTACCGTCACCGTTTCCACTACCGTCTCCAGTACCGTCTCCGTTTCCACTTCCATCTCCGTTTCCAGTACCGTCTCCAGTACCGTCACCGTTCCCACTACCGTCACCGTTTCCACTAACATCTCCGTTTCCAGTACCGTCTCCAGTACCGTCTCCGTTTCCAGAACCGTCACCGTTTCCAGTACCGTCTCCAGTACCGTCTCCGTTTCCACTACCATCTCCGTTTCCAGTACCGTCTCCGTTTCCACTACCATCTCCGTTTCCAGTACCGTCTCCAGTACCGTCTCCGTTTCCACTACCATCTCCGTTTCCAGTACCGTCTCCAGTACCGTCTCCGTTTCCACTACCATCTCCGTTTCTAGTACCGTCTCCTGGTTTTCCAGTACCATCCCCGTTTCCACTACCGTCTCCTGGTTTTCCAGTACCATTGTCATGTCCAGTACCATCTCCTTGTCCAGTACCGTCTCCTTGTCCAGTACCATCTCCTGGGCGTCCAGTATGGTATCCGTGGGGTCCAGTACCATCTCCTTGGTCTCCAGTATCATCATCTTGGTCTCCAGTACCATCTCCTGGGTGTCCAGTACCGTCTCCGGGTGGTCCAGTGCCATCTCCTTGGTCTCTAGTACCATCTCCCGGTTGGCCACTACCGTCTCTTGGGTGTCCAGTACCATCTCCTGGGCGTCCAGTACCATCTCCTGGTTGACCAGTGCCATCTCCTGGGCGTCCAATACCATCTCCTGGTTGGCCAATGCCATCTCCTGGGAATCCAGTACCATCTCCTGGTTGGCCACTACCGTCTCCTGGGTGTTCAGTACCATCTCCTGGGCGTCCAGTACCATCTCCTGGTTGGCCAGTACCATCTCCTGGGTGTCCAGTACCATCTCCTGGGCGTCCAGTACCATCTCCTGGGTGTCCAATACCATCTCCTGGGCGTCCAGTACCATCTTCTGGTTGGCCAGTACCATCTCCTGGGTGTCCAGTACCAATCGGTCCTATACCTGTTTGTCCTTCTGGTTCTCCTGTTCTGCTATTCAGTTGTCCGTTATTGGATGGTATTCCTCGATTCAAAAAGTCTCTTGGACGTAAATCAAATGGCCGTCTAGGATGTCCACTTATAGTTGGACCAATACCTCTATGTCTTAACAATGGATGACCATCACCCAAAGGACCGATGCCACCTGGTCTTCTTGGTGACAATCCTAGATTTAAAAATTGGTCGCTAGGGTGTCCAAAACCAGCTTGGTTCGAATCAAGTGGTCGTCCTGGTTGTCCACTTATCGTTGGTCCGATACCTCTGTGACCTAGGGAAGGCAACCCACCTGTTCCTAATGGTCTTCCTGGTTGTCCGCCACCTAATGGACCAGTACCAGGAAAATATCTCCTTGGGATCCTTCTACTCAACGGACCTGTACTAGGGAATCTCCCGGGTTGTCCACCATCAAAAGGACCTGCACCAGGAAATCCCCCGGGTTGTCCTCCATCCAAGGGACCTGCACCAGGGAATCCACCGTGTTGTCCACCATCCAAGGAACCTGCACCAGGGAATCCACCGGGTTGTCCACCATCCAAGGGACCTGCACCAGGGAATCCCCCGGGTTGTCCACCATCTAAGGGACTTGCACCAGGGAATCCCCCGGGTTGTCCACCATCCAAGGGACCTGCACCAGGGAATCCCCCGGGTTGTCCACCATCTAAGGGACTTGCACCAGGGAATCCCCCGGGTTGTCCACCATCTAAGGGACCTGCACCAGGGAATCCCCCGGGTTGTCCACCATCCACGGGACCTGTACTGGTTTGTCCTCTTGGTTGTGTGTTTACAGCTGGCCCAGCACTAATTCGCGGTGAATTTGCTAGATCTAAAAATTGGTCCAGGGGTCCAATAAAATCTTTGATTTTCTGAAAAGAAAGAGAAACAAATATGTTAAATGTTTTTTTATCTTTCTCTCTTGATGAAAGATAAGAAAGCAATACATTCAGGTTAGATAACTCGTCTCTTTAAATGTTAACAAATAAGGGTTGTGCTACTAAATTGGATATATATCGACGACTTGAATTTAATAAAAGATACGTTATATGGGTCTGAAATGGAGGGTCTTCATTTCTGTATTGTTTAATTGTTTAGGCTATTTTTTTCTCTATTCTTTAAATGTTTACCAAAGATTATTACATTGGTTGCAATGAATTACATTGATTTCCCAGTGAAATAAAAACCGATAATTTCACATGTGATAAAAAAACGTGGTTATTTCACTCCTCTGACGTCATACAACAATAGGCGTTGTCAAGACGTCGATAACGTCGGATCAAAACAAATTGTGAATGCGTAGAAAAAGATATAGTTCCTTACATTTTCTACTTTAATTTCATAAAAAAAGCCATTTGCCAATGTAATAAAAAGAATAACTAATCAAAGAATTCAAAAATCGAAAAATATTCAACTCGTGACCGAACAACACTGATAATTAACTCATGCGCTACGCGCATTCGTGAATTAATGTGTTGTTCGGTCACTCGTTGAATATTTTTCTCTATTTGAATTCTTCGATTAGTTATTCTATAATTCTCTATTACTAGTAATCTTTATATTATAGAACCTATTATTCTTCATGCTTCATGTTTGTAGAATGTTTGGTCTATTAGTCTTGTTTCTGTACATTCAATTCCTAAGTTTAATTGTTACTCATAAGAAATAAAAGATGAAACCCAAATTTACGAAAAACGTCTTTGCTACAGATTGAACACGGAATTGCAAAACATTATTTCGGCACACCGGTATGCCGATTGACAACATTATTCTCAATTGTAACTATTTTACCTGTGTTAGATCGTCGATACTGCCTGGACCATCTAGGTTTTCTGAAAAATAAAGTTATTTTCGTTTATCTGAAATTATAAATAATGATCGAAAGTTGATCAGACTTAGTGAATTCTAGCTGTCAATTCCACCAATTGCTGTTTAAGAATCTGATGCAGATGTCAGTCAAAAAGCACTTTCTAAAGAGAGTGAAGATATCCTGTGCCTAATAACAAATACGTCGAAGAAAAAACAGACAATTCCGTTGAAAAAAAAAAACAACAGACAACCAAAGGTCGAAAGAACACTAAACTGAAAACTAAAAATCAATGACCCGGCAAATATTCGGGTGAACTCATGTGCTTTGGAAGGGTTAGATACTTTCCAGAAAGCCTTGACATACAGGTAACGCATTACTTTATCGTTGACTCGTATTTTATTCGTTAAGTAAATGTAATCATCACTTACCGGTATAATTCTGTTTGCTGGTTACAGACTTTCGGTACATTTTAAACAAAAAAGAGGAAATCAAGACAAAACAAGACAAAACAAATAGAAATCACTGATGAAAAGACACCAAGACAAGACAACACGAAATCAAAACAAAAATAAGACAAGAATCAAAAACAAGACACAAAGAAATGAAGACAGAAAAAGAAACCAGAAACAAGATAAAACAACTCAAGAGAAGAAGAAACTAAATCATGACAAAAAGGAATCTAGACAAAAAAGAGTTCGAGAATATTAAAATGTAAAAACAAATGTATTTTTACTCTTTCAATTCATGATCCTTCAACATACAATGCTAAACAAAATAGCTATGTGTCGGAGGAATGTCTTTCTTTCTAACATTAAAATGATCTTGTAAAATATTCTATTAGTATTTTTCAGAAGACCTGTCGCAAGGCAAAATACACTTGGGTCGGACCAGAAAACCCGAAAAGAGCATCATGGAAAAAAGATTTGTTTTAACAAACTATTCCAACAGTGAGACTCGTCACTGGTTGTCTCTAATTACACCTCAATATTTGTGTCACATAGAGAATTAATGGGGTAAATAACACCTAAGGGAGAAAGTCAGCTGAACGTTTTAATCACATGCTATTTAGTAAAGAGAAATCAAGCTCCTCAATGATTAAATTAGTGTTTGTACTCAAACTGCTATACAATGTATATCCAATAAATTAAATATTCCTGTAAATTGTGTGATTCAAATTTCTTGAATTTTTTATATTTTTGTCAACAGGTTAAAAGTAAACATTTTGTCAAATTTTATGAAAATGAAACGAGCCAAAGAGTTGGGTATTCCATTAAGTTTTGACAGCAGATTTATGATACTACTCAATATTTTGTTCACTTCACAATAGATACTTATCGTTTGTTAAGTTTTGATGCTTCCGATTGTATGCTCCGCATACGACAGTAGGGCGTCATTATGTTAATTTCGGGTTGTGCATCCGGGCGTCCGTCAGTGCGTCTATTCGTTCGTCCGATTCAAGCTATGTACGTCCGTTCGCCCGTCAGCGTGTTTATTCGTCCGTCCAATACATGTATCGGGTTAACGTTTGGGTTCAATGTTGTTTACCATGAAGCTGTGCTCACTTCAACTTGAAACTATGGTGCATATTGTACATATGTTTATTGTGGTGTGAACGTTTTAAATAAATGTATACCAAATTAGGGTTTTGTTGATTTCGTGGATTACTGAACATTGAAATGTGATGATGTGAGTGGTGCATGGTTTCCAATGGACAAACATCCTTGTTTACAAGTATATATATTTTGTGTTGTTCGGATGTTATCTGATTTATGTACTACTGTATGCCCAAAATACTATCAATGAAAGGAATCTGTCATAAGTTTGCATGAAAAATATTATCGATGAAAGGACTTTTTCATAATTTTGCCTGACAATATTATTGATGAAAGGACTCTGTCATAATTTTGCATGAAATTTTTTATCGACGGAAGGACTTTTTCATAATTTTGCATGAAAATATTATCGATGAAAGGATTCTGTCATAATTTTGCATGACAATATTATCGATGAAAGGACTCTGTCATAATTTTGCATGATAATCTTATCGATGAAAGGACTGTGTCATAATTTTGCATGACAATATTATCGATGAAAGGACTCTGTCATCATTTTTCATGAAAATGTAAATATTTTCGTCAAGTTACGTCAAATAATTGATCAAGTTGTCCTGGTTTTCTAATGTGACGTTCTTTTTCGCTTTGTAAACAAAGCCATGTTCTAATCCCATGCTCGTGTGTGACGTCACAATTAAATTAAAAATGAACGTTCCTATCCGTATTTTGATGGTCAAGAGCAAACTTAGGCAAAAGTACGATTTAAGTCTAACATGAAATGTATTTTGAGTTGCCTCTGATTTGAAGAACCAAATGTTGAATATGTGCACTTTAATAATACATTGCAATGTTGATTTAAAATATGCCCTATCCATGCATGAGTAATACAGACATAGAATACAAGTAAATTAAGTAAAATGACAAAGTTACGCAATCTTGACTATTTGTCTCGCACATGTTTAGAAATAGTACAGATCACCACCTTCGCTACACAATTGTTCACAGGAAGTGCATTTTATATTGTTCTATTCACTGGTAAATATTATGGGCTACGCCCATTATTCCCTTATTCTGTAAATCCCATCCAGATCCTTGCACAAAGTTTGAGATTACCAAATCTATAAGATTTAATTAAGGATATTCGCTCCTCTTGTTTTAGAATTTTTGTCAGATATTCGGAATCCTCATGTTTTATCAATGTAGTGCCATTAAAAATTTTGCCCACTAATCCTTACTTTTCTTTTCACAATTTTATTACATATAGTTTAAAAAGCCATATTTGAAAATGTTATAAAATCCCTGTTATTTTTTCACAGTTTTTGAAAGAAAAAAGCTGCCAATGTTAACTGTATGAAAAATCTAGAGAGAATCATTTCCCGCTAAATTTTCAATGGCTTATATCTCGAGAACAAGCATACGAACCCTTTATTTTTTTTCTGCTTTTTTAGTTCTGTTATTTATATACTATCAATCTATAAGAGTCTTTTAAAAAGTTTGTTATTTTGAAACAGAGTAGCGAACATCCTAAATAAGATTTTTTGATTTTTGTAAAATTTCGAATCGAAGATTATGCTTTACCAACATGCATTGATTTGTATGTGTAAGATAAATCATTATAACTCTACCTTAAAATAGAATTTTGATTTTTGTTCAGAATGTCCTCGTTATTCATATTTATTCAAATTTTGCCAGCATCTATAAAATTGCTGTTTTGAGCCATTCTTGGTCACCTTAACTTCTATGTCATTTGGTCGCTCTGGTTTTAAGAGT